GAAAAAAAAAACCACCCCCCCCCCCCAAAAAAAAAAAAAAAAAACACGTCAAGGGACATAGGGGACAGAATGGCTGAAGTGAGAGCGATAGATTGACAGAGCGAATGTTGGAAGCTTTTTTTTTTATAGCCGAAGCTTTTCGGTTTTAATCCTCAGGTTTTATCCTTTCCACAGGCATCTGTGTGGGAGGAGGGAGAAGCAAGAAAAGAAACAAAAGAACATCCTCCCGAACGGGTTTCTTGTCATTCATTCTATTCAAAAATCGAAAAGTCCCACGAGAAGAATTTTTCCCTCCTTCTCACCCTGAATTGGAGTTAACCGTACGAAAATCGTTATAGGGAGTGAAAATTTCATTCGAGATATCCGGAAATTCGAAATAAGCGAATTCGAGTTAAACTTTTAGCATGGTGTTCTACGGGGTTCCGCCGGGACGAAGCATTGAACTTCGAGATAAGCGGAATTTCGACTTATCANGGAAAACAAGGCTCTTGCCGGTAAAAGTCTGAGTTGATTACAATTTTAGGGTTGAAAGGAAAACCGGTTTTTCAGCAAAATATTTGTTTCGAAACCTACGAAGGGAAATATTCAAGCGACTGTCTTTTCGGAAATGAAAGAAAGCGATATTCATAGGTCGATAGTTTCTCCCTGACGTAAATCCCCGAAACTCGTGTCTTCCATGAAAGCAAATGGGGTCTATTTGCATCAGATTAAGGAATTTTTTAGCTGAAGAAACAGTTTTTCTTGTTCTTCAACTTTCAATTTAAAATTTAGGTGAATTTTCAGGTAAAATTCCTGCGAGTTTTAAAGTATTAGGTTGAGGAAAAAATTCGTGCGCCGTTTGCGACGTTGAAGGTGAAGGTTCGGTGGCTCCGTACCTTCACCTTCAACGTCGCACGAATTTTTTCCTCAACCTAGTATTATTCGCGCTGACACAGAACACAGAGATCAGAAACTCTGCAAAAAGAGTTTCATTTCTTTTTCAAAGGGGACTGTCTCTAAACTGAGGCGAGAAATCGTACCTGGCAAGAATCGGCGCCACCCTCTGGCATAGTGCCGGCGCATATGTGTGCGTCTGCGTCAATGCCTCCGAATTCAGCGTAGGCCTCGTCGCAAGCAGTGTCATTCACGATGGCCACGTTCACCTTTAGAAGGATGTCAGAAATTGCTCCTCCTTCCTGCGTTGATCCCCAACCGGACACGGTCATATTAGCACCATCTGAAATCCCCACAAACCCATTCATTCCGCGTAGCATCACATGCACATTTGAAACCAGAGGAAAACAGGATAGAGAGAATGAAAAGGAAGAAAATGTGGATTTGGCAACATGATAGTGCCATCCAGAAATCATAACATGATGGGGAATTTCAATCACTTCCAAAAGGGTATCCAAAAATACCTCGAGAGATAGAATCTCAATGACTTTGGTAGCCACATTATTTTGTGTGATACTGTACTTGCATAAATCATTTCCGTGTTTGCTTAAGTCTGTCTCCTACCAGCAAACATGTAAGGAGAGCAATTTCACTGGTCGCGAACAATAATTTGGAAGGAAATTAAGACATCGCAACTCTTCAACCAACGTTTCGTTTCTCAACGGGGATTCAATCCGTTGATTAAATGTGTTATTTTTCGAAAAAGTTTCCAAGATAGCTAGTACTTTTGCAATGAGTGACATCCGACAATTTCAGAGGCATGCAATGAAAAAAATGGGTGATATTTGCTCATAGAGAGTAAAAATGTAGTTAATCGTTTTTACTTCCTGATAATAAGAGATAAATTGCCAACGGCTCTTTTTTTATTATCAAAACCTCAATTTTTTTTCAGAGCGGAAGGCAAAGAGGGGAGGGTTTCTTTCCGAATCTTAAAAGAAGTGATTTTTCTCAGAGAACAGAGTAGCAAGAGATTCTACTGTCATGTTTAAGGAGCGAAAATCGCTAACTCCAGTTTTACTCCCTTTATGCAAAATTGCTATATTCTTCTTAAGTGTTTCAGGTTTTCCATGTCTCTTACCGTGACAAAATTTAAATTGGAAATGACGAAAGTTCCACAGACGCAGATGACATATTTAACCATTGATTTAATAACAAAGACGCATTATGTCGCACGTCAGGTGCGTTTACATATATGTATGGAACATGTGGAGCGAAAATTTTGTAATTGAGCCATTTTAGCTACTTAATTTCGAACATTGTATGATTCGTCTTGATTAATATGCTGGTGGCGATGTCTGCATTCCGTTTATTTTTAGCTTAAAGAAAAGCGGTACTATGTAATTGGATACTAATTCAATATGAAAAGTAAAATTCCTAAAGGGGTAAGGTACAAATGTAAGGAGTAAGTAATTTGAAGTAAGTAATTCTATCCCTTCCCGTGATGTGCCACAAACGATATGAAAGAGTTAGCATGAGTTTCACTCAATATGGAATCACTTTAACTTTCCATGGAATAGCCTGACGACAAAGAGAATGAAGGGAATGGTCAAAGATTTCCAAAAATTTTTCAAACCTCATACTCAGATATGTTGGGTCAACTTTTCGGGAAAATCAGACGATTGCAACGGTAAAATACAGTAATATCAACCATAAATCCTGTTTCCAGTAGTAATCCGTACATCATGATGAAATTATGGTTAATCTGGGAGAGTCAAAGTTATAGTAAATCTTCATCCGAATACAGATCTGAGATATCGGGTATGAATATACCTTCCCAATCATCGTTCGCTGAGGGCATGGTTGCATTAGCAATGTAGTCGTTGAAACTCAAGGAAGTTGCCAGCCAGAGAAGACAGATGTCATAGGTGAGTTCGAACCTGTATCGGAAACGATGAACCGTAAAATATTATTGAAATGCACAATGTACAAGTTCTGAGAGGCATTCGAATTCCTTTGCAATCACTGACTCGTCGTATGCCTCATGTTTGACCATTCTCGTCACGTCGACCTCAACCTCATGTCCACTTGGTTCGAAGAGATCGTGTTCTCCTGCAACAACCTATGCAAAAAAAAAATATTTTTTCAGTCTTATGAATCGTCTCGAGCGTTGTTTTTCTTCCTTTTCCTTCTTTCAAAACGTGATATTGATACAATCGCTTATTATTTGCTTTGAAAAATAATATTTTCTTGCCATTTCACAATTGTTTCATAATTCGTGCTCTGAGGTTTTTGAATATTGAGAATTTCATGTTGCATTTTTTCATTTATTGTCGTCGCCAAGAGGTAGAGTTCGTTGACTCGCTCTTTTGCTAAACACGTTCCCTGCGAAACGACCCATCGGTGGGTTGCGCCTCATATAATTAATGGCAGTCGGTTTTACTGCTGCAGGGAACGTGTTTAGTTAGGATTCAATGCAGTGCATGCGACATGTGGAAGCCTTCCTCAGGTATTCTTAATATTATACCACCCCCCCCCC